CAACAAAGCGTGATCAACAGGGTGGCATGAGACAAGCTTATTCAACCCAAAACCAGAGGAGGTCTCAGACTGTTGGATCCCTCCCTACAAGCCGCCGCTTTATCAATCCAATGGATCAAAAAACTGATTGTAGGAATTAACATCCCATGGCGAGAGCTGGCATTGGAACAAATCCGCAGGCTGGCTCCCAGAACTATTGACACAGTAAACCCTCTCACATGGCTAGACAACCGATCCCCCGAGCCAACACGTGCTCACGAGAGGAGGGAGACAGAGGAGCGGCTCAACAAGACCTAGCGAGAGATAACTTTTAGTGCAACTTAATCAAGAATTGGCGGAGGCTACCGATCCCTGATAGACCCATTCCAGTACGGATGGAAGAGATCTTACGCCAAATTGTCAACCCTTGTTTGGTAACAGGGCAGTTATTGATAGACAAGGAAGGGTATATGGCAATTTCGACCCCCACAATAAAACAGTATATCGAAACAGAAATAAGAATGCAATGGAAAAAAGTTCAGGATAAAATGACATTCCTATCTCAAAAAGCTGATATAACCAAGGAAATCCATAAATTTTATGCAGAATGGTTGGGGGCCGAAAGGGGGGGGCAGGATGGCCCAGGTAGACTGGCCAGGGGAAAGGTGGGACAAGGAGGAGCAAGAGGACTTCACCAAGGACTACATGCTCAGGTTCCACGACTGGCTCCAGGTCGACCCCAACATTCAGATGAAGCACCCCGAAGAATTTCCAGATATGTTTCCCCCCGCTGCCACGACAATCGTCGAAAGGCAATGGTATGGGTATCAGTAAGGGGAACAGCAAGATGGTCGGTCTGTTGGGCATCTGCACTTAGCTGATTATATAGGCAATAGTCACTGCAAAGATTGCAGGTATCATTGGCACATAGAGGAAGGTAACAGTCACACATATGTACGCAAAGTCTGTCAATGAAGGTGGAACTAGTGAGTACGGCAACTAACTGGCAGCGGGTCCAGGGTGAAGTGGTTTCTGCCCCTCCAAACTCAGAACGAAAGGCAGACCGTACTGCACACAGGGGAGGCAGGCTCCAGGGTTGTGGTAACAGAGGTAACTGGGACTGCACACAATCACTGACTGATAAAACACGGAGTGAACAGAGGGCCTGCTGAGGTCTCAAGGGTTTTTAAGGGTTTAAAGGGTTAGTCGCAGCAAAAATCAAACAGGGGGACTGCTGTAACAAGGCTGAGCAAAAATATAAGGGGAACTCCAATAAGGGGATGGGTGAGGTTAGCAGTTCCATGGGACAATGGAACCCCAGGATGATCAAGGAGCACAGCCTCAGGAAACCCACAGACATGCTCAGGCATTTTCAGACATTCTCAGTCATTATTCTCTCTGTAATATGGGACGCTGGACCCGTTTTCCGGCAGGTGATGCTCCCCACCAATAGATGGAGCCTCTCCCTAGGTGTTAGTGGTGTCTGCTCTTATCAGCAGCACTAACACTGGCGGGGGTGTTGTTAAAAAAAAAAAGAAAAAAAAAAAAGAAAAAAA